GGCTTCAGGAGGAATTCCCAATTCAGTAAGAATTCCAAATCCAGTAGGAATTCATAATTCCAAGTGCAGGAGGAATTCCAAATGCAAAAGGAATCCCATATTCAGGAGGAATTAGGAATTCCATACTCAGGAGGAATTCCAAACCAAGTAGGAATTAGGAATTCCAAATCCAGTAGGAAATCAGATCCAGAGAGAATTCCATCTCCAGTAGGAATTCCGGAATTCAGAATTGCACCTGCAGCAGGAATTGCAGGTGCAGCAGGAACTGCAGCAGGGATTGCAGGTGCAGCAGGGATTGCAGCAGGGATTGCAGCAGGGATTGCAGCTGCAGCAGGAATTGCAGCAGGAACTGCACCTGCAGCAGGAATTGCAGCAGGGATTGCAGCTGCAGGAGGGATTGCAGCACGGATTGCAGCACGGATTGCAGGTGCAGCAGGGATTGCAGCAGGGATTGCAGGTGTAGCAGGGATTGCAGCAGGGATTGCAGCAGGGATTGCAGCAGGGATTGCAGGTGCAGCAGGGATTGCAGCAGGAACTGCAGCAGGAACTGCAGCAGGGATTGCAGCAGGGATTGCAGGTGCAGCAGGGATTGCAGCAGGGATTGCAGCAGGGATTGCAGCAGGAATTGCAGCAGGGATTGCAGCAGGGATTGCAGCAGGGATTGCAGCAGGGATTGCAGCAGGGATTGCAGGTGCAGCAGGGATTGCAGCAGGGATTGCAGCAGGGATTGCAGCAGGGATTGCAGCTGCAGCAGGAATTGCAGCAGGGATTGCAGGTGGCTGAGCCTCTGGCCTTGCAGGTGGTGCAGATGCAGTGCAGCATGGAGCTGAACGAGGACAAGAGCCAGTGGCACGTGAGGGACACCAGGACCTGCCCTGAACACCCTGCTGGGAATGGGATGGGAATGGGGAATGGGAAATGAGAATGGGAATGGGAATGGGGAATGGGGAATGGGGAAATGAGAATGGGAATGGGGATGGGGAATGGGGAATGGGGAAATGAGAATGGGAATGGGGATGGGGAATGGGGAAATGGGAGTGGGGAATGGGAAATGGGATTGGGAATGGGAAATGGGGCTGAGAGAAATAGAATTGGGAAATGGGGCTGGGGAAATGGGAGCAGGAAATAGGATTGGGGAAATGGGAAATGAGGCTGGGGAATTGGGATTGAAGGAATGGGGCTGGGAAATGAGGCTGGGGAATTGGGATTGAAGGAATGGGACTGGGAAATGGGGCTGGGGAATGGGATAGGGGAAATGGGGCTTCCACATTCCAGCAGTCCCAGTGCTCCCAGTGCTCCCAGTTCCTTTGCAGGGCTGGGATGTTCAGACTCTCCTCTCTCCACAGCTCACGCTGCTGCTCATCCTGGAGGACAAACTGCACCGACAGCTCAGCTACGACCTGCTGCCCAGTATGAGCTTCCTTTCCTTTCCTTTCCTTTCCTTTCCTTTCCTTTCCTTTCCCTTTTTTCCCCTTTCCCTTTTTTCCTCTATCACTTTCCTTCCCCCTTCCCCTTTTCCCTTTTTTTCCCCATTTTCCTTTGCCCCCACAGTGACCCAGGGCTGCTCCCAGAGCTGCATTCCCACAGGTCCCACAGTGGGCAGGTCCTGGGGTGCCCGTGGGGAGCCCCCCTCTCATTCCCAGCGCTTTTCCAAGGGAAAGCTGCAGCTGCAGCTCCTTCCCAGAACATCTGGAGCCTCTGGAGGCCTCTCAGGCAGAGCCCCGGGGCTGCCCCAGCCAAGATTCCCTCCCAAATTTGGGGAATGGTGCCTGGGAGCTGCTCCTTGCCCAGCCCCTCGGGGGTCCCTGCTGAGCCCAACAAATCCCAGAGCCTTTCCAGGAGTGCCCAGAGCTGCCCAAACCTCGCAGCCCCCTTTTCCCAGCCCCAGCAGCCCCAGCAGCCCCAGCAGCCCCAGGAGCCGTGTCCATGCTCACCTTCTCCTGCTCCTTGTCTCTGCAGCTGACAACTCCAAGGATTTGGCCACGGAGCTGGTGCATTATGGATTCATCCACGAGGTGAGTCCCTGCTGTCCCCAGAGCCAGAGCTCCTCCAGCACAGGCAGGGCTGCGATTTCTGCTCCAGGGGAACTGCCCCTTGTGGCACATGTTAATTAGCGGGAGTTTAATTAATTCTGAGTGGGAGCACCTGGGGAGCACCCAGGGACTTCAGGAATTTACCCGTTTACTTAAGGAATCACAGAATCGTTAATTTTGGAAAAGATTATTGAGGCCAAACATGCGAGGTCGCCCCGATGACATCCCCAGATGTCACATCCAGATGTTTATTGAACTCCACCCTGCCCTGGGCAGCTGTGCCAGGGCTGGACAGGCCTTTCCTTGAGGAATTCTCACAGAATCCCTCCCAGACCTCCCTCTCCTCCTGTTCCCAGACCCCAAATCCCCCCGGCTGTCCCCTCCTGTCAGGGACTTGTGCAGAGCCACAAGGGCCCCCCTGAGCCTCCTTTTCTCCAGGCTGAGCCCCCCCAGCTTCCTCAGGGATTCTCCAGCCCCTTCCCCATTTCCCTCAGGAATTCTCCAGCCCCTTCCCAGCTCCCTCAGGGATTCTCCAGCCCCTTCCCCATTTCCCTCAGGAATTCTCCAGCCCCTTCCCATTTCCCTCAGGGATTCTCCAGCCCCTTCCCATTTCCCTCAGGGATTCTCCAGCCCCTTCCCAGCTCCCTGAGCCCCTCCTGGGGCTCCTTTCCCCCCTGGCCACGCTCCAGCCCCTCCATCTCCTGTTCCCGGTGACCCCAAAGCTGCTCCAGCCCAGGAGCAGCTCGGGCCCGGGGCTGTGGGAGGCTGGGGGTCTCAGGGACAGCCCAGCACAGGGACAATTGTTCCATGTGTGGATTTCAGGACGACTGTGAGAAGCTGGCCACGTTCCTGGAGAGCGCCTTCCACAAGCACCGCTCCCAAAGCCTGTGAGCCCCCGTTCCCAGGGCATCCCAAAGGGCTCCTGAGCCACCGAAGTGCAGCAGGACTCACCTGGCCGGGCCTTGGGCCCGCGGGGATTTGCCCAATCCGTGCTCTGGGAAGGCAGCAGCTGAAGGAGGAGCCGGCAAACCCCAGGAACTGCATCCCGGGACTTTGGGAATCGTGGTCCCTGCTCCCAGGGGAGGTGTGGGGCACTGGGCAGCTCCCCCCCAGCAGCCCCTTCCCACCGGGGTTTGTGGAGCTGCTGCAGGAGCCCCATGGGATCCTTTTCCCTCTGGGAATAATTGACTTTTCAAAGCTGTTTTTGCCCTTTGCCATCTGGAATGTTCTTTGCTGAGGGGAGGGGAGGAGCAGGCTGGTGCAGCTTCCCATCTGCCACATCCCAATCCCGAATTTCTCCTGAACTCCTCTGTGCTGCCTGTGCTCAGAAGGCTCACGGTGAGCTGTGACATGGCTTGAGAAGAAATCCCAGGAATCCTCACCCCCCACCTGGAATCTCCTTAATGCTCCACAAAATCCGTGTCCCTCCCCGAACCCCTCAGCACCTTCAGGAGAGATCCCTGGTGCCCCTTCCTGCCGTGCCAGTCCCTGACTGGAGAAGGGAGAGCTGGCACTGCCACCACCCCAGGGCTCCCTGTGCCAGGGGCACGCTCACCTGGAGAGAAGTGAGGCTGGAATGGGCAGGAGCCGAAGTGTGGGGCTGCCCCTGATGTGCCAGGGAAAACTGGCACTGAAATCCTGCTCTGTGCTGTGCCAGGGATAACTGATCTGAAATCCTGCTCTGTGCTGTGCTGATCTGTGCTTCCCCTGCTGTGCCAGGGAAGACTGGCACTGAAATCCTGCTCCTGCTGTGCCAGGGAAATCTGCCCCTGGCACCCTGCTCTGTGCTCTGTGCTCTGTGCTCTGTGCTGTGCTGGTGCTGGTGCTGCTCCTCCTGCTCAGGCTCTGTTCTGGTGCTGCCCTGGTGATCTGCACCACGCTGCTGCTCTGTGCCACTGCTCTGTGCCAGGGAGATCTGCCCCTGGCACCCTGCTCTGTGCTGCTCTGTGCCACTGCTCTGTGCCAGGGAGATCTGCCCCTGGCACCCTGCTCTGTGCTGTTCTGTGCCACTGCTCTGTGCCAGTGCTGCTCCTGCTGCTCAGACTGTGCTGGGGAAACCCAGCTCTGG